ACTACGTCTACCTGCCGTTACCGAGCGGCGTGTGCGAACCGTGGAAGCTAATGTTGGTGGACGCGGTGCTCCGGACCTTAGTGCATACGGTGAGAGCAGAGTGATGAAGGAGACAGGAGAGGGGTCAGGTTGATGGCAGTTTGAGTAAATGTATTTCGAAATCCAGTAGCAGAGTTTATTTAGAGAACAGATTAAACAAGTGTGGTTAGAAAGAGCATGAAAGTGGAAAGGTCACAGCAGAATTAGAATAACATGGTGTGGAGGAGTAAATTATAGAATAATACACATCAAATACACCCTTTTACTTTTGGAACTTTGTTTTGATGGTAATACTTATGTTCTTTTACTTAAGTAACAATTTGAATGTCGGACTTTTACTTAGCGTTGCCTTGCTTTCTCATCAGTATTGGGCATTTTCCCCAATATTTGACCTTCTGTGAATGAAAAGATAAATTAAATAATCAGTAAAATAATCTAAAGATTAATCAGTGACCCCTCCATTTTTATTTCTACTCATATATTCAAGATCAAAGATTTTTTTATTGTCAATTCACTATATGTGCATGACCTACACAAAAATCGAAATACTGTTTCTCTCTCACCTAATAGTGAATGCCCATACCACAGAATAAATAGAATATGAAAACTTAAAGTAATTAGGATAAACTAAATGGTGCAACCTAATAGACTATGAAAAAAATGATGACATGCATAATAACAGGACTGAGGATTATCCTTTAATTTGTCACCATCACACACCCATCACACAAAGCAGTATAACAAGTTTTAGTGTCAGCTGAGTTCACTGCTTCCTTTTGTTAGTGCACTGTGTTCTTTCTGCAGTCAGCCAGATAAGGATAATCACCTTTATTGGCCAAGTATCTTACACACACGGAATTTGTTTCCAGTACAGAACTTACTCGTCAATAAGTCATAAATTAATGTTCATATGTGGTGACTTTAATATAGATTTGTTGAATCCTAACAAGCACACAGGAACTGAGGAGTTTATTAACACATTATATAGATGCAGTTTATACCCAAAAATTACAAAACCAAGTAGATTAACAACCCAGCATGCAACACTAATAGATAATATATTTACTAATAATATTGATAGCAAAATGTCTAGTGGATTACTTATAAATGATATCAGTGATCATTTACCAGTATTTTTGGTTTATGACTGCCATGTTAGAAATGAAAGGCCAAAAACAAATCTTTTTTATAGGAGGGTGATGAACGAACATGCTGTAAGGAGGCTAAAAGAGGACTTTATGGGGCAAGACTGGGAAGCAGTTTACAAAGAGGAAGATTTAGACAAAGCATATGAGCAATTTTTAAATATATTCAAGAAAGTATATGACAGGAACTGTCCTCATAAGCAGTATAAAAACAAGAGGAATTACAGTGGGAAACCGTAGATGAGTAAGGGATTACAGAATGCATGTAAAAAGAAGAATGTCTTATATAAAGAATTTATAAAGGACAGATCAAAGAAGGCTGATGAAAAATATAAGTTATATAAGAACAAATTAACTGCATTATTGAGGATATGTAAGAAACAATATTACTCTAAAGTATTAGAGGATAATAAAAATAACATGAGAGGTACTTGTAATATATTAAATAAATTGATTAGAAACAGTACCAGCAGGAGTAA